ATGGAAGACGTATTATAAAATTAATAAGAGACAATATTTAAATTATTTAACAATATTAAAAAATATTTTAATTATCCAATTACCATAATATTGCACCAAATGTAAGGATATTCAATGTAAATCCTAATACCCAAAGTCTCCTTGGCTTAATTCCAATTTGTATTCACCAAACCTTAAAAACTTATTTGAACATTGAAAAAAGGTGTCCAGGTGGCAAACCATATCCGAGCCGAGATTTGACATATGCACAATACAGTATTTTGTGGTCTGACTAAAGCTTTTGATTGTGTCAACCACGGAGTACTGCTGCGAAAGCTTGAAGTTTATGGCATAAGAGATGTGGCCTTGAGTTGGATGAAATCCTACCTTTTAGGTCGCAAACAGTTAGTCCGAACTGTTTCAAACTTGAAAACAAGTGACATAAAATGGGGTATCCCTCAAAGTTCTGTTCTTGGGCCCACCCTGTTTTTAATTTATATCAATGATTTAGGTAAGTTAAATATCTCAGGAAGTTTCACACTATTTGCTGATACTACTATCTTGTGGCATAATAAAGACGTCAATATTCTTTATGCAAATATTAGTAATGACTTCAAATCCTTTAAAACATGGTGCACTGCAAATTTTCTCTCATTAAATTTAAAAAAAAAAACAAAAATACTAACCTTTAAATGTAATAATTCTGATATTTTAATAGATATGGATAAGGTAGAAGCCATAAACTGTACAAAATTTTTGGGTTTAAATATCTCATGAATTAGGAGCTTGTGCAGCAAAAACTGCATATTATACGTTAGATGACTCCCATTTACGTTATGCTGTTCAGTTTTGGGAAGTCTGTTCTGCCGAGTTATTTGGTAGATTCTTTATAGTGCAGAAACGGACAATAAGGTTCTTATGTGGAGCACGCAGATTAGTTTCATGTAGACCGCTGTTCTTAGAAACTTGTTGCATGATCCATAAGAACAAGTCGAAATATAAATCGAATATATCCCGTGTAACTCGAAAAACGGGTAACTTGAAGTTTCCTATACCCAAAATTGAACTTATAAGAGACTCTTTTATATATAATGGTATCAAGATGTACAACAGACTATCACATACTTTGACAGATGTTGAGTCACAGAATTGTTTTAGAAAGCTGCTCAGGAGATTTCTGTTAACTAGGCCTTGTTACGATATTACAGAATTGTATAATGACGAGACACTGATATGTGTTTTATTTTGTTTTGTTCTATTTTAGATGTATGTATTAATGTTAATTTATAATAATGTTTGTTTATATTTTAATGACTATTTATTTGTGCTTTGTATAACAATATTGTGTTTGTCAATAAGTATTTTAACATGGACAATACAATTATATTCTCTCTCTCTCTCTCTCTCTCTCTCTCTCTCTCTCTCTCTCTCTCTCTCTCTCTCTCTCTCTCTCTCTCTCTCTCTCTCTCTCTCTCTTTCGTTAATATACAGGTTAAATGTTAGATTCTCGGCGAAAAGTACTCTCACCCTCTTAATGACTGTACCACAAATGTAATATTTAAAAATTATTTTCTTGTGTACCCTACTGAATGTAATCATATGACGTTTAGAGATATTAGGAGACTTTTTATTCATGAAGAGCTTGGACATTATGAATAAGCAAATAAAGTTTTAGTACGTCGGCAAAAAAAATAGAAACTTGGAATATACACGCCACTGGAAAAAGTACGGTTTTGAACCGCCAATGTTTTCTACACAAAAAAAGGTACTCTTGGTCATACGTTCTAAAGTCGACCGTTTGCAAATCATGATTTCGACCATTTCTTCTTGAAAGCGATTGCGTTTTTTAATCCACTATGCAACAACTTACTAAAACAAGCTTGTGACTGTCGGGTCATACGCTACACGCAATCATGGGTCCAGTTTGACTGGACAGTACACAGGATGGTTTTATCGTGTCTTGAAACAAACCTAATAAAACTTCAATGTTTCAAATAATAGTTTTATTCACCGGGACATTTAGTAGATCGACAGAGACGACCGAGACAGAAGTTCCAAACCGCTGACATGTTCCGGTTTACCGGGACGAATGGCAACCCTACAATAAGGCCATCTTCAGGCCTAAAAGGAAGAAAGAAAATAAATTACGTGTTGTTGTTGTTGTTGTTGTTGTTGTTGTTGTTGTTGTTGTTGTTGTTGTTGTTGTTGTTGTTGTTGTTGTTGTTGTTGTTGTTGTTGTTGTTGTTGTTGTTGTTGTTTACATTACGAATTACAAACCTGTAAAAACTGATAAAAATTGTTATACAACTATTGACGTGAACATCAAAAGGAGATCCTTAAAACTAACGTATGTTCGTTTCATGAACCATGTAGTGGAAAAGTTACTTCGGTGCAAGGTGCAAATTATAGGGACAAAAATAATGGTGCCATTTTTACCAACAATTATTAATCGATCTCGGTTTGCCAGTATTTATGTGATAATTCGGAGAACCCAACGAGTAAGGATAAGGTCACTTCCACTCTCTTCTTGGGCCTAGGTGTACTCCTGGTAATTTTACCGTTTTTTCACTTTGTGGGTTGAAACCTGCTTAAGATATAATTTGTCCATCCATTCCAATGTTGTAATTGCAATCTACACTCTAGTACCGGACCTTATGAACAAGTGACAAGGTCCTCGAACTACCATGTACACACTATTTGGACAGCCTGAGACCCCTACTGGGCAAACGCTAGAACCTAGAGAGGGTTCATTCTTCCGCAGTTCTTACCACCAGCTGTATCCTATTTTAAATCAGTTAATATTGTCTTCATATTTTTCCTATTCATTAACTGTTTTTTCGATATATTAGTTTAAGTTTTTTTCTCCCACCAATATTTTTGTCCCAATAATTTGCACCTTGCACCGAAGTAACTTCTCCACTAGATGGTTCATGAAATGAACATACATTAGTTTTAAGGATCTCCTTTTGACGTTCACTTCAGTGGTTATGTAACAATTTTTATCAGTCTTTACAGGTTTGTAACTGATTATGTAAACAACAACATGTAACTTATTTTCTTTCTCCCTTTTAGGCCTGAAGATGGCCTTAAAACGGTTGCCATGTAATTTAAATATTAAACAATTTATGTGGGATTGATTTTGAGTATTATTTTGTTAAATTTTTAAGATGATCACAGTCTTCTTCATTTATTTAAAAACATAGTGCCAGACACCCAGTAATTTTTTTAAAGATAAGAAAAAATAGATATGGTGTATATGTACACTTATGTTTAAAGAATGGACAGTTTGCAAAAGGATCGTGCATGGTCCTTTCAAAACGATTTCTCCTTTGACTGTATCTGCCTAACAATGACTTTTAACAATGTTAATGTGGTATAATAGTATCACCACCTGGTGATCGTCTCTATACCCAATAAGACTGACACCGTCGACGTTTTTTTACCGCGCAGCGGGAATCACTTTACACGCATTGCCACAACAGATCAATGCGCGCTGTTGTGGTGACTTGCACATTCTTCATCGTCAATTTATCATGTGATTTTTTTAATTCGAGGTGACATATCGTTGATTTTGTGTATTTAAATTTTAATTGAATAGCAGCGTGGCATTAAATCGAGTACAATGTTAAAAAAATTATATCTTGTTTTGAATTAGCTTATACAAGTATAAATTTCAGCGTGCCGAAGATGCAGTATTTTGTGATCTAACTAAAGCTGTTGGCTGTATCAACAACGAAATACTGCTGCGGTATAAGGGGTGGCCTTTAGTTGGATGAAATCCTAGCTTTTAGGTCGAAAACAGTTAGTCCGAACTATTTCAGTGAGTATCCCTTAAGGTTCTGTTCTGGTACCTACTCTGTTTTTAATTTATGTTAATGATTTAAGTAAGTTTCACTCTATTTGCTGATATCTAATACTACAATCTTAGGGCATAATAAAGACGTTAATATTATTCACAAAAATTTTGAAAATATTCTCAAATGTGTTAAAACAGGGTTTACTGCAAATTCTCAATAAATTTTAAAAAAATACTAGCCTTTAAATGTAATATTCCCGTTTTTAATAGATATGGATACTATAGAAGTCACAGACACAGATTTGAAATTTCAAAAAAATGCGCATCAGGATGTTATGCCATTAGAGCTAATTCTCGTGAATTTGGAGTTTGTGCAGCAAAAACCGAATATTGTTTATGAATTGCCTCCCATTTACGATATGCTATTCAGTTTTGGAAAGTTTGTTTTGCCGAGTTATTTGGATTAAAAAACGGGAAAAACGGTTTTTATGTAGAGCCTACAGATTAGTTTCATATAGACCACTGTTATTAAAAAATGAGGAATAATATTAGAAACTTGTTGCGTGATTCATAAGAACAAAAAATAGAAATATTAATCGACGATATTCTGTGTTACTCGCCAAACTGGTAACTTAGAGTTTCCTATTACCAGAACAGAATTCATAAAAGGCTCTTTTATATATGGCATCAATATGTACAACAGGCAAAAAGTATGTGTTTATGTTAATTTATAATAATGGGTGTTTGCATTAATGTTTCCATCTTTTAGAATTTATATGTACCCATGTAACTATATGTAAAAATGCTTTGAAACAGATGAAAATGTTATAGATTCTGTTTTTTCAAAATCCGACCCTTAGTTTAAACCTCAATTCACATTCTAACTGATTGTGTACCACTCCAGAATCCAAGAGCACAATACTTAGGAGCATACCAAATAGAAGAAAACGATCTACCTGACTTGAAGCCTCTCCAAATCCTATAATTCCTTGAGAAGATAGGATTGGAAGGGTCGTTATAGACATTGAGTCTATTTCTTCGATGTATTAGCGACAGAAGAGGGCACAATAGAACTTTTAGCCTGTCGTGCATTAATACCCCATACCCAACATAACATAATTTAAATCTAGCTTCTTCGATATAAATAAAGACATTTAAAATATATTGGGTGGGATATTTTGTTTATTTATGGAATTAAATGTTAAATGAAATGTACTTGTTACAGATTGAAGTTCTCAACAAATATTTATTTTTGACATCCAAACCAGCCATGTACCTAGTCAACCTTTCCGAAAAAGACTATATCAAGAAGAAGAACAAATGGTAAGTATTTTTCTTTCATAGATATTAATTCGGTATTTTTTTATTAACACTATAAATCTGGTTGATGTTTTAATGGTAGACAATTGACTTTTCTTCTTTTTATGTAAATCTAGTGCCGATTCTATTGAAAAATCTCTAATATCTAATAGGATGCCACATTGGCATAGAATATGGATATAGTATCTTCTTCATACTCGCTGCATAGTCGTCATCTTACAGCAGTGTTTCTCAACCTGCGTTCCGCGCAGTGGCGGATTTCTAAATAGGCTAACTAGGCTGTAACCTTCGGCTGAAAATTTTCGAAGTCGGCATTTTTTCCGCGGTCACTAAAAACAAAGTATCATTTTGCCGAATTTCTTATCTCTCAACTCTGTCATTGGTACTAAACATTATTTTACATGTCTACAAGCTACAACTTTTCTTCGGCATCCACAATGCGTTGAGAAAAAATTAGATATCATGCAAGGGTTTATTGCAGTGCTCCGCAACCGGTGTGCCGCGGCACACTGGTGTGCCGTAAGCCGACTTGAGGTGTGCCGCTCTTGCAGACAATACGAATCAGATTCGTATTGTAGCGAGACCCGCGAAAAATAAAGCAATCTGACAACAGCGCCGATGGTAAACGTCTATCCGTCTATCGGCGCGGCGCGGCGGCTTGATTCTCGAAGGCGACTAAACTAGAAAGATCCGTGCCGTTCGAGGCGTGACTCGATGTTTTCCTGAACATCGCCACTGCCTATATAAGCGCGCCTGTCGTCGCTCAGAGACTCAGAGAGAGTCGAATAGTCAAGTGAATCAGATAAATACGCGGGCAAACAAATAAATCGTAGAGTGAAATAAATAGTGAATTGCTATATAAATAAATTCTTGTGCCTTATAAATAAGTGAACTGGACTAAGTTTTGTTGCAGTATCTACTTTTATAAATAACTATAGTGCTTCAAATATGGATAAATTTTTGCTGAAATCACGAGCAGATGACGAAGAACCTAGCACAAGCTCCAGCATAAGTGCTGCAAAAAGAGCAAAAAAGGTGCTGAAAAGGAAGTACAATCAAGACTACCTTCGATATGGTTTCACTTGGTGTGGCGACGAAGCGGCTCCAAAGCCTGAATGCGTCATTTGCGGTGAACAGTTGTCAAATGAAGCAATGGTACCCAGCAAACTAAACCGTCATTTGATCACAAATCATCCCAGTTGCGTCAAAAAAGACATTCAATTTTTCCAACGGCGCTTGGATCAAAATAAGAAACAAAAGCAGTTTATGAAATCGGCGGTTACGGTTTCTGAAAAGGCATTAGAAGCAAGCTACCTTGTTGAAAAATTAATTGCACAACAAAAAAAACCGCACACTATCGGTGAAACGCTTATTAAACCAGCATGCATGGAAATTGTTAGACTTATGCTTGGGCCAAACGAAGTTAAGGACGTGAGTAAAGTTTCTTTGTCGGCCGATACTGTTAAAAGACGTATCCAAGATATGTCAAGTGATATTTTGGGAACACTAATTAAAAAAATCATTTCGGCTGGAATTTTTGCGCTTCAAATCGACGAATCAACCGATATTAAAAATAAAGCACAACTGATGGCTATTGTACGTTTCGTTGACGAGGACTCTATTAAAGAACATTATTTATTTTGTAAGGAGGTTCCAGAGAGAACTACCGGTGAACAAATTTTCCAAGTAACTGATAATTTTTTTAAAATACATAATATTCAGTGGACCAATTGCGTTGCTATTTGTACAGATGGTGCTGCTGCAATGATGGGCAGTAAGAAAGGTTTTGTATCTTGTGTAAAACAAAAAAATCCGTCAATACAAATTACACATTGCTGCATACATCGAGAAGCATTGATGGTCAAAAATTTGCCCGAACAGCTTTCGATCACAATGAATGAATGTATTAAGATCATAAACATAATTAAATCGAGAGCCTTAAATTCGCGAATCTTTGGAATACTCTGTGAAGAAATGGGAAGCGAACATGAATCCTTACTGTTTTATACAGAAGTTCGTTGGTTATCCCGGGGAAAAGTTTTAGCTCGACTGTTTGAACTTCGCTACGAAGTGCGTGAGTTTCTTTCAAGTCAAGATATGTACGATCTATGCCAGCACCTTCATGATGAATACTGGATAGCCAAACTTGCATACATGGCGGATATATTCGAACATCTGAATGAACTTAATAAAAAAATGCAAGGACGGAATGAAAATATATTGACGTGCTCCGATAAATTACAAGGGTTCAAAAAGAAACTTGAACTTTGGCAGGAACAGTTGCAAAAAGGATGTCTAGAAATGTATCACAGGACCAACCACAGTACGATCGAAAACAAGCAGTTGATTGTGGATTTGGCCCAACAACATTTAAGTATGCTTCAACAAAAATTTGAATACTATTTCCATTCTATCAACACGGAACAATACAATTGAATTCGAAATCCTTTCGCAACCAATGCAATAAGTTCCACGGAAGCACTGCCATTGCAAACTCGAGAGGAGTTCACAGAATTAAGTAATTATATGACCCTAAAACTTAAATTCGACGAAGTTCCGTTAGATGTTTTCTGGATTTCCATCAAGACAGAATATCCACGCATCACCGACAAGGCCATCTTCACACTACTTCCGTTTTCCACAACATATTTATGTGAGCAAAGTTTTTCAACGCTTGTATTAATTAAAAATGATAAACGGTCATGCTTAAAAGATCTTGACCAAGAAATGAGAGTTGCGCTGTCTAAAATTGAGCCGAATATAAAACTTTTGTGTTCAACGAAGCAAGCGCAGGTATCACATTAATCAGTCATCATCATGTCAAAATATTTATTACTATTGACGTGTCAACAGAAGTAAATTTAGTATACCTACCTGTCCTACCTAGTATTTAGTATAGTTCTCATGTATGTACCTATTTGTATTTTTCATTCTATCTGAATAATAAAAAAAAATAAAAAAAAAATATGTATTATGTCCTGAGTGAAAATTTTGATGCCCCAAATCTGAAAGGGGCTTCTTCACATTTTAAAACAATAAAAAAAACTAAGGTAGTTTGGACATCCATAAATAATTAGTATACATGGAGTGAACTGACCCCCGACCTAGCTACGCCACTGCTATAAATATATTTTAGATTTTGGTGTGCCACGAAATTCTAGGGAGCAGTTTGGTGTGCCTCAGATGAGGAAAGGTTGCGGAGCACTGGTTTATTGGATCCTTGGAAAGATATTAGCGATACTTTGCAATCAATCTCAAATGTTAGTTTGGATAGTTCAGAAAAGGCGGTTACAAAAGGAGAGACTACAGGAATAATCAAGTAACTGACCAGATTTAAAACTGTGTTTATGATGGTTTTTTGGAGTAGTATTCTGAATCGCATCAATGTAGGGTTGCCACCCGTCCTTCATTAAAAGCTATGGTCCGTTCTTCTTCAGATATTCTTTGGAACTGTTGATAACTGAAGAGTAAAGAAAGCTGTCAACAATTTTTAAATTTAATTAGAGATGATAAAAAACTTTTAGCTGTAGCTAAGTTAAACAAAAAATTATTTTTGTGTCTCCGGCGGCAATGCTGCAGCAATCCGACGGCAATACGGTGGCAATACGGCGGCGCCTACGGCGAGAATTATCCTTATTTTCCTTTAAGAAAAGGAGACAACCCTCCATCAATGTATAGTCAGTAAAAAAACTAAAACAGGAAGATGCAGATTTCATTTATTTCATCTTCCCGTGATAACTTCAGAATCTCTGAAATTGAAACTAAGGCACATGGAAAAGCCTTCATAGGCAGACCATGTTCCAAAAGAACTGGAGAATTACTCTTGATGAATAGGAACCAGTTGAAAGTGATAACAGGGTTCATGACTGGGCACGCCCCAGTAAAGGGACACTTGAACAAAATTGGCATGTACAATGAGTAACTCATGTGCCGACTATGTCACAAGAAACCAGAAACGGCCAAACACATACTGTGCGAATGCGAAGCTCTAGATCGCAAAAGACAGGCTCTTTTTGGACAACCCCAGGTTGATCCAACAACGTATACAACCCACTCACCCAAGGATCTGTACAAACTTGTACAAGGTACAAAGGTGACAGAGTGGGTGCTATGAACTAACATGGGGTAAAACACAATAAGCCAATAGGCTTCAGTGTTATTCGGAGACATAGTCAGACGAGCTCAGGAGAAGAAAAAAATGCATTGATTGGTAAGCAGATTTACACTACAAGCGAAAATTAAAATTTCGATGAAAGAGACGTTGATGAAGAACTTCTATTCGGTTCTAAGGATAATTTCAAAATAAACGTGGTTCTTACAATAATTGTGGATCGATTAATCTCGGAATTGGATCGTCATAATATTCGAGATTTTCCACGTTCTTTTTAAATTTTACGAACTCTCTCTTGGAAAAATAAGAAGTAAAATTATATGAAATTTATTCACAGGATATTTCAGTCCATCTAGTTCAAGAAATCTTTCACCTCAAAGAGTAATTGTCATTAGAAGACAACTGGATTAAAGGGCTCTGTCACGAAATAGCGCGTACTCTCTGTACATTGATATAGAGTTGTCTCCTTTTATAAAAAGGAAAATAAGGATAATCCTCGCCATAGGCGCCGCCGTATTGCCGCCGGATTACCGTCGGAGACACAAAAATCATTTATTGTTTATTTTTTATAAGTATATTTTTTGTTTCACTTAGCTACAGCTAAAAGTTCGGCCCGAATCAGTTCCAATATATAAAACAGCGCCTGAACAAAATAGTGCTTTTTAAAATAGCATCGGTCAAAATAGGGCCAAAACACAAAATGATTTAAAAAACTAAACTAATTGAAGACCTTGGCGAAATAAGATGACATGCCACATTAAGTAGGTTTTAAAAAAAATTGAGTTTTAAATTTGTTTTAAATATGTCAAATACAAATAACAAAATTATTTAAATATAAATATTACGAAAAATGGCGCCATCTTTCGGATTAGAGTATCCTTATTAACAGATG